TCGCTGGTTTTATGAATCGCATCCCTTAATTGTGTCCAGTCTTGTTCAGCTTCCAATATTGAGATTGAAGTTATCGGTGGAAGTGATTCTTTGATGGCTTCCCGGAGGGCGTCGGCGGTATTCTTGTTCTCTAGATCCCGTACGTTCAATCTGGTCATGTTGTTTTGCTTTTTACAGCGTGGATGTTTGGGTTTTAACTGGATTTTCATTTTTGAAATTAAAAGTCGGTGGTCAGTGCCGCATTCGGCATCTATTCTAGCTTTTGTGAGCCTAACATCTTTTAGATGCATCCTTCGAACGATTATGTGGTCCAATTGATGCCAGTGGCCTGATCTAGGATGTTTCCAGGTATCTTTAAACTTGTTCATCAACATGAACCACGTATTGGTGATGCAAAGATTATACTCTGCGCATGTTGTTAATAAGCGTTCACCATTGCTATTTGCGTTTTCCATTGTTTTCCCAATACGTCAGGCCATATTTCCTGTTGTTTGCCTACACGGGCATTAAAGTCACCTAGCAAGATGATTCGTTCGTGCTTTGGAATTCGTTGAAAGGCATTTTGTAATGCTTGGTAAAATTTATCCTTATCTTCAATTTTAGCGTCAAGGGTGGGAGCGTAGGCACTAATGTTGTTGACGTAAGTTTTGTCTGATATGGGGTACCTTAGGGTCATAAGACGTTCGGAGACACCAATAGGTACTTCTGTTAACTTGGTGGCGATTTCGTTTTTGATCGCAATGCCTACACCATGAATTCTCCTGTGTGTTGCGGGGTGACCTTTCCAAAAGAAGGTGTAATGCTCCTCAGTGAGACTACCTTCATCTGCAAAGCGTGTTTCGCTTAGAGCGGCAACATCTATATTTAATCGGTGGAGTTCCTGTGAGACCAGTGCTGTTCTTCTCTCTGGTCGATTTGAATTTATCTTGTCCAGTAGAGTGCGGACGTTCCACGCCGCGAACGTGAAACATTGATGTTTTTTGTTTCTCCGATGATACGCTCGAGTAGGCACCCCCTCCCGGAGATCCGATTGAGGGGGTATTTTACCTTCAGACGATAATTTTGTCCCACTCGAATGTTCCATTATTGCTGTGTGTAAGCTGCGTGAAAAGGTTTACCTGTGGCGGTTACGCTGCCGCACAGTTTTTGCTGCAACTGTAGCACGGGATGGCTATGGCACAGTGAGGACTGCGACGATAGTTCCCTTGTGCTACGTTCTCGGCCGGCTAGGTGTATTTTATTACTACTTTTCCCCAGAAGATGGTAGGTCTGAGGGTTGTATAAGGTTATACCGCCTATACTCGGACGTCAGAGCCTCGTTTGTGTAAACAGGGTGCACCACGTGAAGGTGAGGTTGACTTTTGGGTAAGCTAGGCTATATGTATCGCTTCAATACCCCTTGCACCCCTTTCTGCTATTAGACGAGAGCTGTCTACATAAAAAACCATATTATTGTTACATGGCTAATTTTTCTTGTGAAGTATCCTTATGTGTGGCCATTAAGAAACGTGGAAAATTGTTGGCAGATATTTATCTCGTGGCTGAAATGACCGTCTAAAATGACGAAATGACCTGACAAACAACGCAAAAGGCATGAAATTTTGACAAAAAAATCATCGCATACCGGGTGGCCAACTAAGAATGGACGCCGGCTGTATCTCATAAACTACTTATCGTATAACTTTGGGAAAACATTTCTAATAAGTAAATCGAACAAGAGAAATCGCTGGAAATTATTTTCGAGTTCGAAAAATATCCGCTAGGGGGCGTTTCTCTGATAGCCAATCAGAAAACAGGGTTTATCTCAAAAATATGCAGGTGAACAGGTATTTTAAATATTACTGTTGTAATCATCGAGAAATTTGTATTTTTTTTGATATAGAGTGTTTTGCTCTAACTCATAAAATAAAGTGGTGGGGGAAGATTAAACTTGCTTTTATTAAAATAAGGATAACTCTGGTTTAGGTTAACCGATTTAAACAAACTAGGGCTCGTTTAAAAGAACTTTTCTTCCTTAATAATCTTCAGTATAAATTTTGTTTCTATAATTTTTTTGTGGTAGCTAGAGGGCGCTGTTTGACATCATAACAGATATTGCGCTTTTGTATTAGTAATTTAAATAGGAGGCTATATTTCTCTTTGGACAGTTAAATAGAGCACAAAATTTCGAAAATATCAGCAAACCGCAAATTTCTATCTTGTCTCTAACCGGAGATATTAAGAGAACAAATTATGTTAGGCTGCCGCTTAGGATTATATAGTCTAAAAATTATAGTAGTAGGCTAGGAAAATATATTTCTAAAGCTAACTTCCAAAAAATGTGTTTAGTTACATCAAGTTATGGAGGCGCATAAAATCTATTATGCTCTAATAATATAGTTGACGAAAATATGGAATTTTATGTTAATATCGCAAATTATATTTATTTGATAATAAGCTTCATATAGGGCTTAAACAAATTAATAAGTTTCAAATTAATTAACGTTCGGGTTTATTTTTGATTGCTGCCCTCTAACGGACAAACGAAGCACTTTTGTATAAAGGTAAATTATGTGCAATTAACTTATGTTGATTCAAAAAATACCTAGTTGTTCTATGTCCACGGAGTAATGAAACTCCCTGTATGTTTTTGTAAAAAATGCTGCTTTGGAAAAATAAATTCTCCAAAAGATTTTTTCTCAAAAACTATGCGATGTGGCCTTTTTTACAATAGACGAAAAATGTAGTAAACACTAGAGGGAGAACATTTTACGAAAAGAAAATCTGTCGTGGGTGGAGTTGTTAAACTCGCCAAAGCCTCAATAGGTCAGTAAACGTAGCCGAGTATTATATGTAAAGGTGGAAAAAATTAGTAACCAACCAATCTCAACGGGAATATGTAGATAATGATCTCCTATTTAACCCCTCAAAAGTCCCATTCGGTCCCAGTGGGGGAAGTTTGAAAAAAACCGCCGCCATCTTGGATTTTTTTGTTTTTTTCAAATATCTCCGTTTGCTTAACTTTTTTCGGAAAGCATTCGTTTGCATTTTTTATAGAGAATTAAATTTAGAATATTTTACCTTTAATCATTTTTTCTCTAAAATAAATAGTAATCAAGATAGAGCAATTTTTTACTATACGTTTTATAAATTTTCCAGTTTTTTTTTAAACCAATCAGCTATAATTTTTGCGTTAACAGTATAGTGTTAATATAGATAAACAAAGTATAAATTTAAGCATTAAAACAATTAAAAATAACGTTTAAATATTATTTATTAAATTAAATTATTGTTAAAAAAATTATTATTAAATTAAAGTTATTAAATGAAATCTGTTATGACGTCATCCAGAGCGTCATTTTCGTTCTCAACTAAAATACAAAAGTTTGTGCAACTGATTCCGTAGCACTAACCACACTTTGAAAAACATTTAAGATCCAGTTTTCTACAAGAGCAATTTTTAGAGCACTGTCTTTGCAATTGCATTCTGTTGATTGAATAGGTGTCAGATTGCCTTTTTGATCCTTCTTCCATCCATATTGCAAAGGATCTTGTTACTAATCCATTCTTGAATCTAAAAAATACGACTTATAGCATTTCCTATATTAGATATATCTTTACAGTTACCTGAAAGTATGTCCTGAGTAGATGGAGTTTTGCAGAATTCTCAGTTAAGGGTTTGTCTTGACGTAATCCTATTGTATAGAGTGTATTTCAGATGGTTAATATGTTTAATATAGCTTGGACAGTGATATAGCTTTAAAAGATAATTTATCCTGACTGAAATAAATCATATTTGTTAGCATTTTTTTCTAAAAATACGCTGAGGTATTGACAAAGATCGTCATCATTTTTCATTTTTGGCTTGTTTCAGTCAGGATTAAATTATCTTTTAAAGCTATATCACTGCCCAAGCTATAAAACATATTAACCATCTGAGATACACTCTATCTATACAATAGTATTACATCAAGACAAGCCCTTAAGACTACCTTTAATTTAGCTAACTTGCCTCCAACTGAGAACTCTGAAAACTCCATTTACTCAGGACATACTTTCAGGTAACTGCAAAGATATATCTATAATAGGAAATGTTATAAGCTGTATTTTTTAGATTCAAGAATGGATTGGGAACAAGTTATATTCTTTACAATATAACTTGGAATATAACTTTACAATATAACTTGGAAGAAAGATCAAAAAGGCAATCTGACACCTATTCAATCAACAGAAGATGTGGCTCCTCCTGACCTACTAAATTCTTTTGCAATTGCAAAGAGACTCAGTGCTTCAATAATAATTGCTCTTGTAGAAAACTGGGTCTTAAATGTTCTTCAACGGTGTGGTTAGTGCTACGGAATCAGTTGCACAAACTTTTGTATTTTAGTTGAGGACGAAAATGACGCTCAGGATGACGGCCATAGCAGATTTCATTTAATAACTTTAATTTAATAATAATTTTTTAACGAAAATTTTATTTAATAAATAATATTTAAACGTTATTTTTAATTGTTTTAATGCTTAAATTTATACTTGGTTATCTATATTAACACTATACTGTTAACGCAAAAATTATAGCTAATTGGTTTAAAAACACTGGAAAATTTCTAAAACGTATAGTAAAAAATTGCTTTATCTCTATTACTATTCATTTTAGAAAAATAAAATGATTGAAGGTCAAATATTTTAAATTTAATTCTCTACAAAAAATATATCTTTAGTTTTTTCGAAAAAAGTTATGCAAACGGAGATATTTGAAAAAAAAACGAAAAAATCCAAGATGGCGGCGGTTTTTTTCAAACTTCCCCCACAGGGACCGAATGGGACTTTTGAGGGGTTAAATAGGAGATCATTATCTACACATTCCCGTTGAGATCGGTTGGATACTAATTTTTTCCACGTCAACCTCCAGATTGACTGGCCTACAACGTTGAGGTAAAACTGCACGTGTGTGGCTAACTTAAAACGGTTGTATGAAATAATTATGAAATGATCATTTGTCGCATTTATTTGTTGTTCATATTTAAAGGAGACCGTTCAGTAACGATCTGAGTGTTGTGCCGCGCGTATGATTCTACATTATTAAATAATTAAGGTATGCACGTAGAGATAGCCTTTTTTTGCAACAAATTTATGGTTGTTGGTTATTGTTTACTACAGAAAGAGAGAGAGACAGTGAGAGAGAACTGTTGAATATGAGATAGTGGAATGTGGAATTATAATATCTGTACAGGGTGGCGCCTCTCATACGACGCGAAGGCTCCAAGGAGAACGATAGTTTGTATTGAAATGAAATGTGAGAAAAAGTTGGTAAATTTAAAGCACTTTTTGAAAATATAGAGAGTTCTACAGGGTGTAAATTATAAAAATATACATTTACGACGTTTTTCGCGTAAAAAATGTCTCTTGGTAAAAATCGCTACGATTATTGGTTTTCGAGATATTTGGAATCGAAATTATCAAAAAGTTGGTAAATTTAGAGCACTTTTTGAAAATATAGAGAGTTCTACAGGGTGTAAATTATAAAAATATACATTTACGACGTTTTTCGCCTAAAAAATGTTTCTTTGTAAAAATCGATACGATTACTGGTTTTCGAGATATTTGGAATCGAAATTATCAATACCTGTCATCAGTGACATAAACATGATGACTAAATAGTTATTAGCCTGAGATCATAATTTTGAAAGTTTTTGTTCCAAAAGTTCAACAGAAACTAACTGTTTTATCGTTATTTTTTTTGCAGAAAAATTTCTGATTAATTTAAAAAAAATAAAAATTTCCCAAATTTATCATTTCAGTGATAATTTAATAATTTTAATTAATAAATACTATATTAAAAAAAATTTAGAGCACTTTTTAAAAATATAATTCTACAGGGTGTCCCCAAAAAAAGTTACACATTAAATTTGTGTTTTTTTGTAATGGAACACCCTATATATTAATTGATTTTCGTATTCTAAGAGAAAAATAAAGGTGAGTTGCGTTAGAGAAATATATGACTAAAAAGTAAGGTTTTTGACTTATTTAACATGTTCTAAAAATGAAGCACAATTTTTAAATTTCAATAAAAGCTACCTATATTGGAGTTTACCCAGTATAGCCTAATATCTAGTTAAAATAACTATTGAACTTAAGGTGAGACAAAATTAAAATTGAACATTGGTCACCTAAAGGTGATACCAAGGTGATACCAACTTGCTTTTGGAAAAGCAAGTTACGCTTTTATTTTAAATACTTTATTATTCCAATATTCAAGGGGGAATTCATATCTCTTTAAAATACTATTAGGGTTGCCTACATCTAAGAGAAAGATTTTCCTAGATATTTTCATTTTTATGATTTAGTGTCAGTAAATCTTTATTATTTGATAAAATCTAGGTGGCTGTGATATGCCTAACGTTACTTCAACATATCTGTCTAATTAGTCAAACTTTAACAACTAGTTATCATTTTGTCACAGTTAAAACAAAAAAAAAATCTGAAATTTGCGGAAAATGGAAACTTATCCTAGATCAAAGAGAATTGATATGATTCTATTAGTTGATGAATGTAGTGTGCATTATTCAATTAATAGAATATTTAAATGCTCCTGATTTTATCTAGTCTGGTTTTTTTTATGCGGATGTGTTAAAGAGAGAGTATACAAAACTCGACCAAGATGACAGAAATAAGTGTAGTTCCTTTTCGAAGTAGTACTCCACATATGCCTTTTAACGTGAAAATATCTTTTGAAAAGACAATAATTTTATGCAGTAAACAGGAAAGGAAGCAATTTAAGCATTTTCACTTTTCAAAACAACCTTTAATTTTTTGTTAAATTATCAAAATCTATATATCACAGCCATCTAGACTGTTTCAAACATAGACTTAAAATAAAGTATAGACTGAGCATCTCATTCATAAATAGCTGGAACATGCGGTCAGACACTGTCTTGTTATTGTTGTGTTATTGTTTTAGGTTATAACGAGTGCGACACGAGCGATAGATAGGTTGTCTCTGTCGTAACGGTCGTTCCCTGACGACTCTGCCGAGAAACACAACACAAACTTTCGTTTCTCAAGTACACCTGAACTCTCCGTATCATAGCCGGGTAATTTTTTTATTTTAATGAAGCTATAATTAAATTAAAAATATATCGTATTTAAACTTTTTTATATTTTATTAAGATTTAGGACAGGTTTTTTAAATATAAGTTTAGAAAAAACAATTTAGAGTCCAAAAAGGATAAAAATAATAAAATACACGTTATAGAAGAAATTTTATAATTGAAATTAGGTAATTTTTGAAATTAATAATAAATTATTAATTTTAGTCAAACATTTACAACCCCTAATATTAATCAAAACAGGATCTATTCCACAGATATAATAGAATCGGCGACAGGGAGAGAAAAAAAAATATGATTGTTGTAATTTTGTTTCTGGTTAAGTGATGTCTTATTATGTAAATTAGAGAAAACATAAATCTGTTCCATTAAAGCAAGGAAGGTGATAAAATAAAAACTACATTTATTTAACTCGGTACTGTCTTTATTATACCAGGTGCGTCTCAAAAGTGGCTCATCCCCCATAATTTTTTTATATTTTCAAATAAAAAAACAAGATTTAGTATGTTAGTATATGAAATAAATTAGGATTGATTGACGCATTCAATTGTTTTTGGTCACTTCCTTTTTAACCGGAAATGACTATAACTTTTAATTTTTAAACGGCGCCCTCGGTATATTCTACTTTATTCGATAGAAAATGACACTCTGAATAGAATGACATATCATATGTCAACTTTTGACATTTTCGCATATGGTTTAATTGTAATTGTAACACGCGGTTCATAACGACAATTTGACTCGAAATACCAAGTGTGTGGTATCAATATATTCATAAAAAAAAATGCTTTTTCCAAATATGCTAATGAGTCACCCTTGTTCCATTTGAAAAAATTGACATATGTATGATTAAAAATACGATTTGTACATCTTTTAACCGGCCTAGACAAGACACGAAACCTATTAGACGATCAAAACTATTTTTCAAGGCTCTTTGATTAAAACTTAGTGGATTGAAAAAAACTGGATTGAAATTTAAAATAGGATATGTTTTTTAAGCGACAATGTCAAAAGTTGACATATGATATGTCATTCTATTCAGAGTGTCATTTTTTATCGAATAAAGTAGCAATATACCGAGGGTGCCTTTAAAAATAAAAAGATGTAATCATTTCGGTAAAACAGGAAGAGACCAAAACAATTGAATACGTCAATAAATCCTAATTTATGTCATATACCTACTAACATACAAATCTGTTTTTGAAAAAAAAATAAAAAGTTATAGGGTTGAGCCACTTTTGAGACGACCCGGTATATTAAAAAATATTGTTTCATAATGTAATATCATTTTAAAATTCTTGTATGTTATTTTAGATTCTGAAGATAATTTTAGAATAAACCGGAATATATTTTTAATAAAAACATTATTAATTATTAACAGGGTTATAATTATGATTTTGTTACAATGTAAGTAAGTAAATAATGTAATGTAAGAGAAAAAATTCAGATTTTACATTTTACTAAAATATTATCTAAATAAGCGCCTTTCTACAACAACGCCACTGACTCCCAATGGGTAAATTGAGAGTTGCCTACCGGTCAAAAGTCGTTTCAAGACTTAAATGGATTATTTAAGTCAAATTTCTTGCAAATTTGGCACTGGCGAACCATATTTTATAGTTCTTGAACAGAAAAAGTCAATAAAATAAACACTTAAGCACTACAAGCTAAGAAAATGCGTTAATACAGCCGGGGAGATAGCGGCAACAAAGCTTTACCGCACACGTGCGACACGTACTACAAGGTAATAAATGAATGAATAGGCTCCCTCGCCTCTAATCGGTGTTGTCATATTGTAAAGAACTTATCCTTTTTAAACAGTATCCGACTTATAATTTAGTAGTATAAGGACTATTTAATACATCTCTGGAATATTAAAACCTACTTTATTAAACTGTAGTATTAATATCTCAATATATGTGTATAACAAGAAAAAAATATTGATAATATTAAAGACGTGACAACATAGGCTGGATGAGGAAGGCTAGGTCGACTGTACCCAGAAGTAAACATGTGTACAAAAAAGGTTGTTTGTCCGCGTTGAGATGTAAATAGTGTAGTCTATATTTTATTTTAAGTCTATGGTTTCAAATAATAAAGATCTACTGTCGACCAAACCAAAATCATAAAGATGAAAATATCTAAGAAAATCCTTGTCTGAGGGGTAGGCAATCTTAATAATACAGGGTTGTTCACCACATACGACACGGAGTATTGTAGCTGAACGATTAGATTTTTGCAAATTTTAAGTTTTGGGTTCGTTGAAGGACTATTAGAGCTACAATTTAGAAATAATTTTACAAGATACAGAGTGTCCCAAATAAGTAAAAAATGCTATAGTTGTATTTTTTTTAAATGGAACGCCCTGTATGTTATTCTATTTTTAGATGCTATGATTGAAATAAAGGTAAATTTTATTAAGGTTTATCACACTTAAACCTTACCATTTTTGAAATATTTTCAATTTTGTGAAATTGCAGTAAAAATTTTAAGGCTTCATTTCTCCAAGGGTATCAAAGTTTATAATACTAAGTATTTACTGAAGTTTATTTATTGATCAGTTATTGTGTTGCTATAATAAAAATTATACTACCTTGTACAGAGTGTCTAAAATTTTATTTTAAATAATTACTAGCTTTAAACGGCAATAACTTGTTTAATTTAAATGGAACACCCTGTATATTTTAGGAGAATCAGATGCATAATTTAATTGTCTATCAAATTGTATTATACCACTTTTTACCTATCCCTTCAAGTTTTCGTAGAAAATGCATTTTCTTATAATTTAGACCTCATTTATCAATATACCTATGGAATATTGACATTTTAGATTGTTTTTAAAGCAACAAATGTACAAAATGTACAGGCTAGTAATATTATCGTTTTTAGCAAAATGATAATATTACTAGCCCATTTGTATGCAAAAAGAAAACTATTTAAATATTCATAAAAGAGTATACCATTAATAATTACAATACCACCATTA